TAATAAAGAAAAAAAGGGCGGTCTTTTAGAGGCAAACTAAGCGTCAGCAGCAGCTAACGCAAATTTATTTAAAGAGTAACCGTTTCGTCGAAAAAGAGCAATCAGACTTTCTTATTTATTCCTGTACAAATTTAACTTTAATTTTCTGGCCGCTCACCAAAACCCCATCCTTGCTCACTCGTCTGCAATTTTATACTTTTTGTTTTTTTATTTCGTTTTTTACTCAGTCTTGCCTAATTATAGCAGTATAGTATCTCCGGTTAAAGGCAAAAACTTTATCCAAGTTTAATTGAACATGAATCATTTTTATGCTCCATTTTATACAAAATAATTTATTACTTATTATTTTTAATATTTGTGTCTATACAAAAATAGAGAAACCAAATTGGCGTCATCGAAATTTCTCCCTTGAAAATGGACTAAAAACAGTTTTTTTACAGTGAGAGTGAAAAGGATGTTTTATGGTTACTCCACGCGAAATTTTTATTATTTTACTGAGTTTAACTTTATTTCGACGATTGAAGTTGAAGATATTTCCTTATCTTTGTTAATACCGTAGTCCAGCAAAATTTCAAGATAAGTAGGTAATATAATTATTTTAAGTAGGTATTATGATAAGTTATTTCTGAATGTAAAGTGTTGGTTTTGCTAGACAATATTATCTATGGCTTCAATTTATTTGCATTAAAACCATACAATCCAGTAAAACCCTTTAATAGCTAGACTACTTAAATGCATTAAACAACTAAGTTTTAGATAATTTGATATTATTACTGAAATTACAGTGCAAATACCTTGTTTTCCCGTGTAGTGATTCTTTTTACACTGAACGACAAAAGTACCGCACACCATAAAACAAAAAATCAACAACCACCGACGATAACTCCACATTTTAACGTGTTTAGCTCATAATAAAAATTTTCAGCACTGGGAATACGATTTGAATTCACACGTGTACGGGATATTTTCAGAGCCGGCGATACAGACTCCTTAAGCGTACGCGTAAGACTAAAAGGTACGACTCACTTACCTTAGTACCCTCAAGAAGAGGTGGAGACTCCAATGCACCATGGCGCACGGTGGCCAAAACTTAAAATTTAGTGGGATATTTTTGTTATTTGTGTTTACAAATTGCAGCTTTGAAAGTTGAGTTAATTTCAAAATATAAGTACTTTTCAAGATAGAAAATTGACGGGACGAGTTTTTAAAAGAAAAATTAAAATATTTTTTTTTTCGGTTTTTCTTTTTAAAATTAAAAGTTATTGAAAGTTGATTTAATTTCAAAATAAAAGTACTTTTTAACATTATTGAAAATTGACGGGACCAGTTTTTGAAAAGAAAAATAAAATATAATTTTTTTTCGGTTTTTCTTTAAGTTATTGGAAGTTGATTTAATTTCTAAATGTAGGTACTTTTCAATATTGAAAACTGACGGGACGAGTTTTTAAAAGAAAAATTAAAATAATATTTTTTTCCGGATTTTTCAGTTTTTGTAAATTTATTTAATTTCAAAATAAAAGTACTTTTTAAGAAAATTGACGGGAAGAGTTTTTAAAAGAAAAATGGAAATTCTAATTTTTTTCCGTTTTTTTTTTTGAAAGATGATTTAATTTCAAAATATAAGTACTTTTTAAAATTGAAAATTTACTGGACGAGTTTTTAAGAGAAAAATTAAAATATTATTTTTTTCGGTTTTTCTTTTTAAAGTAAACAATTATTGAAAGTTAGTTTAATATCAAAATAAAAGTACTTTTTAAGATTGAAAATTGACGGGACGGGTTTTTAAAATACAAATTAAAATATATTTTTTTTTCGGTTTATCTTTAAGTTATTGGAAGTTGATTTAATTTCTAAATGTAAGTACTTTTCATTATTGAAAATTGACGGGGCGAGTTTTTAAAAGAAAAAATAAAATAATATTTTTTTCCAGATCAAAATTGTTTTAATTTCAAAATATAAGTACTTTTTAAGATTGAAAATTGACTGGACAAGTTTTTAAGAAAAAAATTATAGTATTATTTTTTTTTCGGTTTTTCTTTTTAAAGTTAAAAGTTATTGAAAGTTGATTTAATTTCAAAATAAAATTACTTTTTAAGATTGAAAATTGACGGGACGAGTTTTTAAAAGAAAAATTAAAATATAATTTTTTTTCGGTTTTTCTTTAAGTTATTGGAAGTTGATTTAATTTTAAAATACTTTTCAATATTGAAAATTGACGGGACGAGTTTTTAAATGAAAAATTAAAATAATGTTTTTTTCCGGATTTTTAAGTTTTTGAAAATTGATTTAATTTCAAAATTAAAGTACTTTTTAAAAAAATTGACGGGACGAGTTTTGAAAAGAAAAATAGAAATTTAATTTTTTGAAAGTAGTTTTCAAGATTGAAAATTGACTAGACGAGTTTTTTAAGAGAAAAATTAAAATAGTACTTTTTTTTTGTTTTTCTTTAAGTTTTTGAAAGTTGATTTAATTTCAAAATATTATTTTTTATTTCGGTTTTTCTTTTTAAAGTTAAAAGTTATTGAAAGTTGATTTAATTTTAAAATAAAATTATCTTTTTAATATTAAAAATTGACGGGGCGAGTTTTTTAAAAAAAATTAAAATATATTTTTTTTTTGGTTTTTCTTTATTTTCTTATAGTTATTGGAAGTTGATTTAATTTCAAAATATAAGCACTTTTCAAGATAGAAAATTGACGGGACGATTTTTTAAAAGAAAAATTAAAATTTTAATTTTTTTTCTTCCAGTTCTTCTTTAATTTATTGGAAGTTGATATAATTAAAAATTATAAGTACTTTTTAAAATTGAAAATTGACGGGACGAATTTTTAAAAGAAAAAATAAAATATTAATTTTTTCTCACTGTGCACCTGTGCACTGTACTTAATAAATAAGATTTCAAGGGTTGAAGGACTGAAATGTTAACAAGTCATTAGTGTTTGATAAATTAACACAAGCTATTTTTAAAGTTATCGCTTAAATAAATACCGGGAGCATCAAAACAAACAAGCAGGGAGATGAAAATTTGAATAAAACGCAGAAAAATGTTGTATTTTTTTTTATTAAATAAACTTTTAATGTACTCCATAAAGAACACACACATACATTTTAGTTAATAAAGACTAATAAAGAATGTAAATTTTTCTAACACTTTGGTCAACAGTCAAAATCAAATCATTTTTACCGCTTCTAAAAAAACATAAACATGATTTTTTTATTCCAACAAATAGATAATTGAGTGACATAGGATATGTACCATTTAACACATACGTATTACTGATATGGAGTTGTTAAAAAAATCATTATCTGTGATAATCTATACCCTAAACAATGGACATAAAAATCGATCGTAAGCTCGCGAGAAGTAATAAAATATACGGGGGCACTAGAACGCTTCAAAATTAATTAAAATAAATTTTATACGTTGTGATATTGATATGTTTATGTTATACTTTAATTGATATTTATATGCTTAAAACTAAATATCACTGGTTGCTTCTCGCGAGCTTACAATGCAACGGCAAGCTATGTCTTTACAAATAAAGCTCCTAATTTCGTTTTTATCTTCTTCTTCTTCTTGATTTGCGATTCAAAGCATCCCTATAACCTCAAACTATATCTGCTAGACCGGAATGTGTACGTACAAACATACTCGTAATATATTGTATATTTTGCTATATATAGTAAAAAAATTTACGAAATATTTAAAGATACAATGGAGTTAGTCGTTGGGGAAAATATCCTCAGAAATGTCAACACTATATACAGTGACACCAAATGAATTTTGGATGAACGTAGGCAACCCAGATTGCACGTGGATGTAATGTTGGTTGCGTTATGCGTTTTTTTACGTTTTTAACGTTTATTCAACAATATTTTCCATTTTAAAATATATTTTTATAATTTACTCATAGATATCGAGTGAATACCTAATAATAAATTCCAATGATACTGTTTTTGTGATTGTTGAGTTGGTTTTTGATAAGAGTGATTCTGCTTTGTTAAATGTCGATATTTCTGAGATTATTTTAAGAAATTACACTTAAATTACGAATTATCATATAGGTATATTTACTTCTTATCATTTTTTTCTATACATGTACAAGAGTTTATTATTTTTATCAGTAGGTAGACAAACTTACATCATGATAAAGTTCCAACCAATATATTTCAAACAAAATACATATATTTAACTTGATTTAAAATCCCTTAAGTTTGAGTGATAAAAACAAGTTAAATTTTAAGACTTTGTTTTTTGTTTGGTTGGTACCATACGAGTGCTATACAATGAAGAGTGCACTTATATACTAGCTGTAGACGTAGTTTACATCTGTTAAGAATACTGAGTCAGTCTACGCCATTTTTTCATTTACTATGATGCTAGGGGTGTTATTTGATGTAACAAGAAAATTCTATATATTTGCATTGCATTGGCACTGGACCTCACCTGTGCCGGGTAGCCATGCGTTAAGCAGAGGAATATTCAAGTTACATATAATTTTTTTAACACGCCCTGTGATGCTCTTAAAAATCTAGATGCTGTGCGTTTTATACATTCTCTTCTCTAAGCGAACCGACAAGAAAAAATAGTACGAATTTTCACATACACAGGGCGATTTTTCTTGGATCGTCCTGTATATTTTGCAAATTTGTATTTTTTTTATATAAAGGGCAGTACAGCTGGGTCTCTCCCACACAAATCTGTTTCATAAATTAAGTAAAACTAAAAAAAAAATGTAATTTCATCTTCTAATAATTTTTCTACATTAGACTATATATTACAGTACATAATAATATTAACTGCTTTTTAAATAAATATTATATTGTCTCTCACAGAAAATTTATTTACTATTAACTTCATTTCAGATTGTTTTATGTTGCTTTGTAAAATTAATACTTTTTTCGTAATACAGGCTTTACCTAATAAATTCATAAACGAAGAAATAAATCTTATATTCTTCAAAAACTGATAATAAAATATTTGAAATTTTCTTTCGTAACACCGTTTTTTTCCATGATGATTTTTTTTGACAATGATTATGATGTATATTGTCGATAAAGATGTTAATTTTTTTTAGTTTTGGTAATTTTGGCCGAACGTTGGGTTCTACGTCCGGCTCACCCTGCAGACCTTGATCCGGTCACACCTGAAAAAAATTTTTTTGGTAAGTTTCCGAAAATTGTCCTACCATTATTAAATTTGTGCTACCGGGCGATTTTTTTTTATTTATACTATTTTTTGCAATATTTACGATTATTAAATTAATTTTTTTTGAGAGTTTTTAATAATAATTTTTAGAACAGTTATTGTATGTTATTATTTTGAAGAATTTTCACAAGCCTCTTTAGCTCAGTGGCAGAGCACTGGTCTTGTAAACCAGGGGTCGTGAGTTCAATCCTCACAGGAGGCATAATGAGAAAAATTACTTTTTTTGTTTTTTTAACTTAAATTAAAATAAAACTTGCGTCGGTATCAAGGTTTAATGTTTTTGATTATTTATTGTTACTAATTTAATTGTTTTATTTTTATTTGCAAAAATGGTGGATGTGCCGGGATTAATATTTTGAAATTGGCAACATTTTGTCAAAAAAATCTGAAGAAAAAACTTTTAACTAAATCTGTCTATAAAATAGTTTAAGAGTACAAAAAACCCACTATTTGAAATTAAATATTTTGTACAAAAAAATTGTAATAAAATATGACCTAATCTGTCAATAAAATACTGCTAGAGTCAAAAAATTCAATCTTAGAAATTAATATTTCGTAATAAAAAATTGTAAAAAAAAGTAATTTTTTAACTGTCAATAAAATAGTTCAAGAGTATAAATTAAATATTTTATAAAAATATTATGTAAACAAAAAAGGTTAAAAAAAAAATATCTGTCAATAAAATAGTTCAAGAGTACAAAATATTTCATTTAAAAAATTGGTTAAAAAAATTATCTGTCAATAAAATAGTTCAATAGTTTGAAATTCAATATTTGAAATTATATATTTTGTAAAAACAAAAAATTATAATTAAATCTGTCAATAAAATAGTTCAAGAGTATAAAATATTTCATTTAAAAAATTGGGTAAAAAAAATTATCTGTCAATAAAATAGTTCAATAGTTTGAAATTCAATATTTTTCAAAAATTTTGTAAAAAAAATTGTTAAAAAAATTTCTGTCAATAAAATAGTTCAGGAGTACAAAAAAATTAATCTTTAAAATTAAATATTTTGTAAAAAATTTATTTATTGTTACTAATTTGATTGTTTTATTTTTTATTAGCAAAAATGGTGGATGCACCGGGATTAATATTTTGAAATTGGCAACATGTTGTCAAAAAAATTTGAAGAAAAAACTTTTAACTAAATGTGTCTATAAAATAGTTGAAGATTGCAAAAAATTCACTGTTTGAAATTAAATATTTTGTACAAAAAAATTGTAAGAAAATATGACCTAATCTGTCAATAAAATACTTCAAGAGTCAAAAAATTCAATCTTAGAAATTTATATTTTCTTAAAAAAAATTGTAAAAAAAAATAATTTTTTAACTGTCAATAAAATAGTTCAAGAGTACAAACAATTTACCTTTGAAATTAAATATTAATAGTTCAAGAGTACAAAATATTTCATTTAAAAAATTATGTAAAAAAAATATCTGTCAAGAGTTCTAAAAACCTAATCTTTGAAATTCAATATTTTCATGTTTTTGTTTTTGCACCAATTAATTTCAAATAACATTTAGTCAAAAAAAAATCATGAAACTGCATTTAACTACCTTAAACCGCTAAATAATTTTTTAAAAGAAAAATCTTCAAATGAGGCATCAGAACATTGCAATAACTTGGTTACATACACTCCCTGGAAATTAATTACCTAACTAAAAGGAAAATCACTGGAATAAATTAACGTTAGTTTTATGTGTCATTTCTAATGAAAAACGAGCGATTAAGCTGCAGCACGCTGTAAACAACCAGTAACCGACCAGAGTTTATAAAGTTAAAAGAAAATGCAATTAGCAAAATAGTTGAGGAGCCACTTAAGGCTATTTGGCCGATTGCTTTCAAAGCAGCGGCAACAGTGCGTTCCCCAAGGATGCCTGAAAGTTATTAAATTCGCCACAATTAATTAAAATTCGAACAACTTTTTCAGTTTGCTATTTGTTTTTCTTTCCCCGCCTGTTGCCTCCGCACTACCCGGAAAATATCAATCCAACTTTCCGGAATGCATCTGAACTGCACTAACCACTTCTACAACTTTTTACTGTAATCAACTATGTGGTTCCTGCACTACCTGAGACTACTTGTTTAGTTTGCAGTCAGATTAATTTTACATTTTTTGAGTAGTTAAGGAGGTTCGGGCAATTTAAGTTGCTTTTATACTTAATGCATAAATAGCGATAGGTACCAACTTGCAAAAAAAATTGCAGTTCTATATGCAGTGTTAAAAATAAGTTGTGAAAACATACGGTATGTTGAATGCAGCGAAAGTCTAAAAAAAAGAGCAGAAAATATAATAGATAATAAATAATCAAGTGTTCCTAATACAGTGTTGACGGATCTTCTAGACGAGAATGACTGATTGATAATTTCTGAGTAATTAATATTATATTTAGAGAGTACTCAGATTGAAATTGCATAAACTAAAGACTTTAAAGAATTTTTTTAACATTTTCTAATATCGAAAAATATCGTGCCCGAACCTCTGTAATTAAATTTAAAATAATTTATGAGTAATTAATATTATATTAAAAGAGTACTTAGATTAAAGTTGCATTCAGTAAAGACTAAAGAATTTTTTTAACATTTTTTAATATCGACTAATACCATGCCCGAACGTCTTTAATTAAATTTAAAATAATTTCTGAGTAATTAATATTATATTGAGAGAGTATTTACATTGAAATTGCATTAGTTAAAGACATTAAAGAATTGTTTTAACATTTTCTCAAATCGACTAATATCTTTAATTAAATTTAAAATAATTGCTGAGTAATTAATATTATATTGAGAGAGTATTTAGATTGAAATTGCATTAATTAAAGACTTTAAAGAATTGTTTTAAAATTTTCTCAAATCCACTAATATCTTTAATTAAATTAAATTATAATTGCTGAGTAATTAATATTATATTGAGAGAGTATTTAGATTGAAATTGCATTAATTAAAGAATTGTTTTAACATTTTCTCAAATCGAATAATATCGTGCGCAAACCTCTTTAATTAAATTTAAAATAATTTCTGAGTAATTAATATTATTTTGAGAGAGTATTTCGATTGAAATTGCATTAATTAAAGACTTTTAAGAATTTTTTTAACATTTGCTAATATCGACTAATATCCTGACCTCTTTACAGCCATTCCACGCTACTCGGGAATTTTTGTAGCGTCCGTTACAATAAAAAATTGTGATTAAAAGCTACCGTAATTAAATTAAATACTGTTACAATAGTTAATATTGCCAGCATGTTTATTATGCTTGTAATAATTAGGCTTAAACTTATAAGCATAATAATTACGGTAGTTTTACTCAAAATTTTTTATTGTAACGGACGCTACAAAAATTCCCGAGTAGCGTAGAATGGCTGTTTAATTAAATTTAAAATAATTTCTAAGTAATTAATATTATATTGAGAGAGTACTCAGATTGAAATTGCATTAATGAAAGACTTTAAAGAATTGTTTTAACATTTTCTAAAATCGACTAATATCGTGCCCGAAGATTTTTAATTAAATTTAAAATAATTTCTGAGTAATTAATATAATATTAAGAGAGTACTTAGATTAAAATTGCATTAATTAAAGACTTTAAAGAATATTGTTTAACATTATCGACTAATATCGTGCCTGAACCTTTTTTATTATTTTTTGAATAATTTCTGAGTAATTAATGTTATATTGAGAGAACTTAGATTTAAATTGCATTAAGTAAAGACTTTAAAGAATTTTTTTAACATTTTCTAATATCGACTAATATCGTAATTTAAGTAATTTAAAATAATTTCTGAGTAATTAATAGTATATTGAGAGAGTATTTAGTTTGAAATTGCATTCAGTAAAGACTTTAAAGATTTGTTTCTAATATTGACGAATATCGTGTTCGAACCCGTTTTATTAAATTTAAAATAATTTCTGAGTAATTAATATATTAAGAGAGTACTTGGATTAAAATTGCATTAATTAAAGACTTTATAGAATTTTTTTTTACATTTTTTAATATCGACCATTACCATGCCTGAACCTCTTTAATTAAATTTAAAATAATTTCTGAGTAATTAATGTTATTTTTAGAGAGTACTCATATTAAAATTGCATTAATTAAAGACTTTAAAGAATTTTTTTAACATTTTCGAAATGCCCAAACCTCTTTAATTAAATTTAAAATAATTTCTGAGTAATTGATATTATATTAAGAGAGTACTCAGATTGAAATTGCATAAATTAAAAACTTAAAAGACTTTTTTATAACATTTTCTAATATCGACTAATATCGTGCCCGAACCTATTTAATTAAATTTAAAATAATTTCTGAGTAATTAATGTTATATTAAAAGAGTATTCAGTAAAGTTGCATTCAGTAAAGACTTTAAAGAATTTTTTTAACATGTTTTAATATCGACTAATACCATGCCCGAACGTTTTTAATTAAATTTAAAAAAAATTCTGAGTAATTAATATTATATTGAGAGAGTATTTAGATTGAAATTGCATTAATTTAAGGAATTTTCTAATATCGTGCCCGGACCTCTCAAATTAAATTTAAAATAATTTCTGAGTAAGAAAGAGTACTTGGATTGAAATTGTTGGTACTGACCTGCTGCTAGACGAACCACTCGTCCTTCTGGCTGGAGACGACGTCCGCCTGATCGGCGGCGTTTGCCTGCTGAACGGCAACACTGTTGGCGGTGTTGCCGTTCTGCGGCGTCGGCCTCACTTTGCCTGGCAGTAGAGGCGGGCCCGGACCTGCATGCTGAATGGGAACCCGAGTGGGACCGCAGGGTGCACCCAGTTTCCCTGGTGCTGATTGTTCTGGTGCTGGTGCTGGTGGTGGTGGTTCACGCCGCCCCCCACCTGCGTCAGCGTCGTCATCGAAGACCCGCCGCCTTTGATGGCGCCGTTCGAACCGTACATCTGCTGAACTGGAACAAAGACAACCCGATCTTCAAACGGGCTTGTTCCACTACCCACACTTCTTTTTTGTTGCGTCTATTTGAACGACTACTTTTATTTTTGTTCATCCTGGCCCGGGGTTTGAACCCGGGACCTTAAGATTGGAAGATCGAAAGTTTACCCACTAAGCTACCCCAGTGAGTTGATTATTTTGATGTTTGCACTGTTATATCCTATAGGATTTTGTTATTAAATCTACCAAATGTTGGCTAATACGCTTTGTATAAATAATTTCTATTTGCCATTAAAATGTCGATAATTGGTGGTTGATGTTAAGTGACCTGTAGGGGGCCTTGCAAGGGAACATGACCTACTTGTCGCCAATCCAGTGTATTATACGCTTTATTCCACCGATATTCCAGATTAATTAATATAATGTGTACCTACTCGAAGTATTGATTCCCCACCCTCATCCGAAAGGATTGTTTAATTGAATTCATTCCCCGATTGACTTGTTTTATTTTGAATTTCGATTTGGATTAGTCCAAACTTCCATTTAGTTACTTTAGCCATCTTTTTAGTATTATTTTTTTTAAATCACATATAAATGTATATGTCACCCTTATCTTTCCCTGGTAGCAAACAAAAAATTGATGGATTATGTGTTTCGTAGTAAGAGAGAGATGGCTTAATATTAGCATTTAGACAGAAACTGTGACGGGCAGTTTAAATGGAGTTTCTCTCCGAAAACCTTATAAATAACGGATGAGTTGGGGCTACGTATGCCAGATAAATTATATTTATCAGACGGACACAAAAAACTGAAGGATTAGTCCCGGCACCTCCGCCATTTTTGCAACTAAAACTTTCGTCGAAACTTTACCGCGAATAAAAGCAAAGCGAAACACATTTTAATACTTTTCAAAGTGTTATTTTGTAAAATACGCAATTCTTTCATTTCACGGCCCATAAACATAAACGATCTCATATTCGCGAGTGATAAAAGCTCTTCGAGCATAAAAGTCCGCCACTATTTTATATCGATAAATTTTAAATTTAAAATAAGCTCTGCCACGGTTTTTATCTCCACAAACCTTAGTGCACAATAAAAATGATGTATCCTTGTTTTAAAACTATTCCAAAATCTAGACGATTACGGGTTTTTTCCTCTAATTATTTGAACATTTGTTACAAATTGGTGCCGTGACCAGGATTTCTTTTATTGTTTGTTTGCACAATATTGTCAAAAAAAGAGTACAATTTTTTTAATAATTCGTATAAATATAGTATAACTTTAAGTTGGAATATAAATTTTACAATATTGGAAGCATCACACCACCTAAGATAACCAATGAAATGATTTCCCGCTTGAAATAAGACGCCGGCCGGTCGCTCAACTGCAATCTGCATCATCACTTTGCAGTTTTAGTTGGTGTTAGGAAGTGTATCATTGTGAAGTTAGTTTAGCACCAAATTTCCGGTGAGTAATTATTCAATAATATTTTTCCGAACAGGTGGATAGGTATTTGCAAAATTGTTCAGGGACTGGGCTAAATTAGGTTAAAAAGTGTTTCTATGTTCCTACTGTGCTACATTATTGATCAGCTTACTATTTACTTTGGTTTGTAATTTATGTTTTCAGTTTATATTAACTTAATTCATACAATTATGAAACCAAATCCTATGTTTACAAATTGGTGCCATGACCAGGATTCTTAAATTTAATTTCGTTGTTTTTTTTTTCGTTAATTTGTTTTTGCTAAAATAATAATAATAATAATGAAGAATTGCTTACGTGAGTAGGAAGCATTTTGTTGTTGAACTGTGCCGTTTCCTTGACGATCGTTGAAGCCCCGTCTGCACAAGCATATCGAGACCGCAACGATAAGCACGAGGAGGACTAGAAGGGTGCTTATCACAACCACTACAAACCAGGTCACCTCCAAACCCAATATTGTGCCTGTGTCATTATCTGAAAAAAATATTTTATATTGTTAAACAGACGTTTAACGTTAAAACAACTTTATTCTTCCTTCAATCACAAAAACGTGATGTTTGTCGTGACAGAGCAAGGGAAATTGCTGGATATAGGAAAAGGAAAATGAAGCGACAAATATGTCTGGCACAAGAGAATACGAACAGGAGATGTAGAGGAGGTGGTGTGGTGGTTGCATACGGTGCACAATACCGCACACTTCGTTTTCAATCGACTCTCGCACAATGAAAACTCGTTCGTCTGGCAGAAATGCCACCGCTGGGGGCTGGACTTCGATATCGGAAAAGCGTCCGGCAATTGCAGGGCAAATGCGAGGTATATTGAATAGGAACCAGGAACGTTCATAGTAAATTGTCCTCTAAAAATTGTTTTTTTACAATCTTTAGTTGTTTAGTTGACAACAAATTGAATAAAAACATAATTTTGTCGGAAGATGAGTGTTTTTAATGAAGATGAGGAAGAAGCGACTCAAAATCTGCTTCCATCCAAGTCAAATGAAAAATACGATAAAACTTTTGAACAATTCTGTCAATGGAGAAACAATCAAGGAGTACAAGGTGTCAGTGCTAGCGTTTTTTCTTGTATTTTTAGTCAAAAAATCTGAAGGCATCGTCACTGTGGTCAACATATTCGATGCTGAAGAGTACGTTGCAAATATATGAAGGCAGTGACATTTCAAAATACAAGCAATTAATTGCATTTTTGAAAAAACAGAATGAAGGATATGAACCCAAAAAGTCAAAAGTGTTGTAAATTCAACAAATTATGAATGAATCGTATCTATTTATGAAAGGCATTAATTTTTGCTTTAAATGGAGGGGAATAATTACGAACACTAACAATTAACGATATAGAAGAGAATAGCACTACGTAATACAAAAACGAAAAAGAAGCCAGTTTTTACCATAACTTCGGAAGCGAACGGAATTGAGTTGTATCGGAAGTACCGTAAATAAAGGCCACAAAAGACGAATCATTCCGGATTTTTCGTTTGTTACCGGAATGGTAAACGCACTGTGCAACCGGTGGGGATCAACACATTTCAAGCTTCCTGATTCCAATAGCTACACAGGGCATTGTATGCGAAGGAGTGCAGCTACCAGGTTGGTTGATAATGGGGGCAGTATCTCTGATTTGAAAAGACTGGGGGATGGTCTTTAACATCTGCTGAGGGTTATATAGGAGAAAGCATTAAAAAAATTCAAACACCGAAGAATATTTTTAGAGGCTCCAATCAACAGGATGACTCTTGACTTATTAATTTTATACTTACTTTGGCACAGGCTGTTGACTGAGGACTCATCTGAGCCATCTGCGCAATGGTTTATACCATCGCATACTAGATCGGTTGCTATGCAGAAATCTCGAAGGTTGCACCTAAATTCTGTGCAAGCATGTTCTGAAAAAATATGTATAAAATCTTAAACTAAAACCAGAGCATTCGCCATTTCTTATGTTGGGACCAAAAGTTCATCGGTTCAATGAAACATACAAAAAATAATAATATTTCCCTGAATAAATAGACCATCGCTGAGACTATTATAAATACATTAGCTGTTTACAATACACGTACATAATGTCTTTAGCGATCGTCAACAAATTATTAATGTTTGTATTTGGTAACAATAGCATTTTAAAATCAATTTTCTATGGATGGTCTTAATGAATATTTCAAAAACTGTCACTTACTTAAATCTTTAACCGCTGTTATGACAAGCTTGAAGCCATTGGAATCGGTTCCCCAGGCATCGGTGACGTACTTTAACGTCACGTAATTGGTACGCGTGAACATGGCGCCCAGCGTCTGCTTGGTGTTCTTGCACGACAAATCAAACTGAAAGAGAACAAGTGTTTTTTTAATCTCTTTTTGTAACTTGTTCCCATACATTTCAATATTGGTCCAGAGACACCCCCCAGAAGAAAAAGTCTAAAGACCTCAAATCCCACGATCGAGTGACGATTTTGTTCGGGTGGTGGCGACCGAAACAGGAACTGCATCTGACACATAATTAAGTTCTTATTGCCAACAAAACAATCCGAATATCCCCCGGCAACGGTGTGACGTAATTATCACAATCAAGCGACATCTGTTCTGCGAATTGATGATGGAGAGATGGCGGGAGGCGGCGGATGCCGCTCCAGGCCCGTATCAAGTCGACTGGAGTGCTTAAAGCGCTTTGTGGATATTGAGAGTGATGAATTCATTTGGCGCGATTGTCTGCTCTGACGACAAATTATCGCGGAAATTTCAGATTTATCTGTACAATTGTATACTCTTGTCGTAGGTAGATAATGTTGACGATTGACATTATAGGTTATGTAACCGTTAATGACCTTTAATTTTACAGTTAACTACTCTCTAAAAATGAATTGGTCAAAAAAATTTCAGTCATGTCATGTGGTCAGTAGAATAGAATAGAATATACCTTTACATATACGGATGGAATCAAATTCTGAGTCACTTATTTTTTGTCTGTTGTCTGTGTTTTTTTTTAATTAATAAATAAAAAACTGTTTTAGATACAAGTTTGAAATTTTTATTATTTTATTATGACTACAAGACACAACTTTCATTAAAATTTTGTTAGTGTAAGTGAGGTCCAAGTGCACTTTTTATCGATTTTTTTACGAAATTTTAGGTTTACTTGTGATCCATTTTAGGTCGAAGAGATCGACGTAGAAAGACCAAATTTGGTGAAAAGGCGTATGACGACCACTGTGGAAAGCCTATACCAGATGGGCCTTCCAGGTATGCAACTTTCGGAAAAAAAAATCTTTTCGAATTTTTCCAAAAATTTTCAAATTTTTTTTTCCAGAAACCCAAGACATTTTAAAAACTAAAAATCATCCAATCGAACTAACATGGCCGACTGCTCAATTTTTTTTTTTTAATCCAGTTCATTTTTAATTAATTGTATTCTATTGTTTGATTTAATTTTTTTGTAATTTTACTATACTTGAAGGTAAATTTTGTTCTTCTAAATTGATTTGCCAAAAAAAAATATTACAATTTTTCCTCTTCTGACTCTTGACATATAATATATAGCTACTTGAATTTTTTTTTTTTTGCTAATTCATTTTTAGAGAGGAGACTGATTTTGAGGTTATGAGTGTTATGAGTGCTATGAAATTATTTCCCTTAAACCATTGGTAACCTCTTTATATTTCCAGGCCAGTCCGATAAGTTAAATACATTGATTGAACATTTATAGTTGTTGTCGTAATGGTTATTGCAACTATTGTGGTTTCAATTGAATCCGTTATAATGGGGGATTTGTAATATTCAATGTTGCGTCAATACATTGAGCGCTTAGGCATTGGCGTGCACTACTGGGGATCAAATTAATTTCTACGAGAGATTAGCATTATTATTTTATTGAAGCATTACGCTGCTCACAGAAAATGCTAAACAGTAGAAATAATTTAATTCGCGACGGGCAAAACAAAAGTTCAACCGCGAATGAATTAATTCCTTTTTGCCAAACGAGACCGAAACTTAATAAAATTATGCAAATTTTCATTGTGCTCGAGCACCAGCCACAACGGAACTCGTAAATTATACCAGACATGTAGACTTACTTATGCACAGTAAATACCATTTTCTCCACCCTCTACCTCTTTCTGTTTGTTGGTTGTTTTTTAATTTATACGTACACAAGTCCAAACAGATATTTCATCAAAAATTACTTTGGAGGTATGTTTTCTCCACATGTCTCATATCCATCGTCAGATTAAAAGCTTTTTCTTATGGACGTATCTCTTGGAAAAACTTACCTTGTATGTTCCGACAGCATGAGCACCGTCGTAGATGTAAAGGTGATCGTTGCAGTCCAACTGGAGGCCATCGAATCTAAGCATGAACCTCTGAAGTATCGAATGCGTCTGGAAAGTGATCACGCAATCCAAATTTCTCTCGTTCTGAGACCAGAGGACGGCACCGTCGATTTTCCTGTACAACTGTTGCAAGAAATGGGTCTTGCACAGGGATTGCATGGAATCTAAAACAAAGAAAAACAATACAATATTGGACAATTTCTTCACACCACCTAAGATAACCAATGAAATGATTTCCCGCTTGAAATAAGACGCTCGGTCGCTCAACTGCAATCTGCATCATCAGTTTGCAGTTTTAGTTGGTGTTAGGAAGTGTATCATTGTGAGGTTAGTACCACATTTCCGGTGAGTAATTATTGAATATTATTTTTCCGAATATGTAGGTTGGTATTTGCAAAATTGTTCAGGGACTGATATAATTTGACCTGGTGATCAAATGAGGATAAAAAGTGTTTCTATGTTCCTACTGTGCTAGATTATTGATCAGCATTTTTGTGGTGGTCGCTGAATACATATTTAATCTATCGACATTTGTACTATTATAAGTGGAGACGCACTTCATGTTGAATTATATCTCAATATTTTTAGAATTGTCTTGTCACAATCTTGCCAGTTTATTTCGTAGACTTTTCAATTTTAGGAATTTTATCATTGGGGTTGCCTAAGAGTATTAATTCTTTAACTAAAAGCAATTTTAAAGTCCAGCTTTCGTCATATAAATGATGATTCAGAAGCATGGGCCAGGACAAAAAGAGCTGGTAGGGTGGAATAATTTGTAGCCCTCTGGAGAAACGAAGGGCGGAATACATAAAACAACAGGTAATAAATGGCAGCACACGTGCCAAAAGCGATGACTGGCTAAAAAACCAGCCACCAAACATGCTTCGTAACTGCCTTCCTCTCTTTACTTATTATTTAGGTCGGTACGAAATATGTTATTAAACAGAACAGAAACAAGGGGAGAATTATTATTAACGCGGGCGTTAAGCAGACATGCCCAAAATTTTAAGCCGTGTTTATGCAAAATATTTACATGTTTCCATAATACTTTTAAATACACATTGACAAGGTGTTGCTTTATGGCGTTTAAGCCACGGACAGTTGTCAAATTTTTTTTAAGTAAATTACTATATATTTTTTTGGTATATTTAATGCATTGTGTCGTCCTAGACATAAACTCCCTGAGTTGAAGTTAAATAAAGCCCTTTAAAATTGCTTTTCCATTAAATTCGATATCACCAAACATAATATTATAGAAAATCGAATCGCATTTCGGTTTAACCTACTTTTCGGTCCGAGATTTTCACTTCCATGGATGCGAAAATTCTCTTCCATTAAGTTTATATTGAAATTGTCGGGGGCAGGCCACCCGCACTGCTCCGTGTTCAGGTGAAGCCGATATAAACAAGATATTAAATTATATTTGAGATTTTCCTTTTTCTTTTTTTTTTGTCTGATGTGCTAACCGAATTTATCCCTGAATTTATATCCAATATTCTCTTTTTAACATAAATACCTATATACAATATTGTTTAAGATGCAGATAGTCAGCTCTCTTAAAATGAATTAGTCAAAAATGACTTCTGAGGTGTTTTAAAGTTTTAGAGTATACTTCGAGTTCTAATTGATCGATTTAACCAAACAAGCACTTAAATCAAAGGTAATTGAGCCCTCTACAACTTTCTTTTGTATAGGTTTTGTATCGGCTCAGTAGTTCTAAAAAAAAGACCTTTTTTTTACAAAAATAGAGGTCCAAAATTTACATATCTTTAAAGGGAAAGATTTATTTTACGTATAGATTATACTTAAAGGAAAAAAATAAGCTGCTGTTAATAAAATTCCATGGATAAATGGCGATGTTAGGAATTTTTCTGTGGAAGAGCAAAATTCAGTTTTTCGAGAATTTTTACGTTTTTTCTTCATTTTATTGAATTATATAAAATTTAATATTGAACATTGATTTTTATTTTAAACATTAAATATTGAAATTAAATTATATATTAAACAATAAATATTGAACATTAAAGATATTGAAAGTTTTATTTTGTTTTTGTCTTTGTTTTTTGTTGCTTTCTTATTCCGTTTCTCGTATGAGGGACCAAATGTAATCACCCATCATGGCTTCATCCCAGAAGCCTTGATACCGCCGCTCCATAGCCTTCATTTGCTGGTGAAAACGTTCTCCGTGCTCATCACTTACGTCGCCCAGATTGTGCGGGTTATTTACGCACTCGAACTCTCTACTTCTTTTACTCATTTTACACTGTTTATTAACTTAATAGAATCATGATAAAAATACCTTGTTGAAATATCAAAAAATAGCAGTAAAATGTCACTATGCCAACACGAGACACAAAATAATTCACGTTTGCGGAGTCATGTCAAAAAGTACGTAAAAAATTCCAATCATGCACTTTACTTAGGTTTTCCTTATAAAATAAACATATTACAAAATAAACGAACAAAATAAAATAAAAATCGTTAAAAAGCTGAAAAAAATCATAACTTCGCCATTTTTACATGTATCAACATTAGCTTGTTTATTTTGTAAAAATGTCAGCTTCACGAAAAAAAATTTAAACTGGAGTTATCTGTTTAATTTAAACCTTTTACAGGACGATATGTAAATTTTCGACCTCAATTTTTGCCATAAAAACGATTTTTTTAAGTAATTAAAATCGCTACCGTCAAAATACTTATCCGATATCAAAAGTATGTAAACGAAAGTCTTAGAGGGCTCAAATACCTTCGATTAATTAGATTTCAAGCTATACTCAAAAACGTCAAAACAAGTTCGAAAATTGAAAAATAAACAATTAAAAATTCATATTTTAAAAACCCTTCCATAAAAAAAATTGAGTGTGATTTTCGTGTTTAGTGGTACAAAATACATGGAAAAATTATAACGGGATATGGCGCCACTGCAGGCAATGGTATCGCTATTGTTATTTTGCGCGTTACAAACAAGCAGCGTGTGTTTTGAAGGTTATCTTGCAAAACTTTTTGCATCTTTGTTAACCCTAACAATAATGTGCTGTAGGCCACAAGAATTACTTTTTAGAAACAGTCAAAGATGGTGACTTAAATTAGTCAAACTGTGCATTACAAATTTCTCTGACTGTACCTTGGTAAACATTGGTATACAGCGGGATAATTCGTGACTATACCCCTCAATCAATCGTTAATAACCCCTCCCCCCATCCACCTGTATATTTAGTTGGCAAGATTATAGATTAAACAAACAGACTTACCCCGCGCGTTACGACTGTTTACAGTATAATTTAAGTCAACACAGACAACTAAGTTGCTCAAAACATTTTAAATTCAATTTAAACGACTATTTTACCCAAGTAACAGCTATGTAAATATGCAGGACTTTGGCGAACATTTCCTTCGCAGGAAAGTTTGCCGGAAGTTGGAGGAGAAGGAGGAGGAGGCTTAATTAAGTCGACAGCCACAGCAGATTCACAACACTATATCTCCAACTGTTCTTTCAGTAACAACATTTTCTGCTTTGCACATTATTTTCAGCTAAGCAGATCCAAAATTTTTGAAATTTAAAAAAATAAGGGGGAAATAAACAACAAAAAATAAAAATTATTTGCTGTCACCTATATTTAACTACTTTTTTATATGATTTTACTCATCTACGCACCACCAAAGCCAAATTAATTGCTTTTTAAAAAACTTATACAACTTATACAACTTTCAATTACCCTATAAACCATATAGTGTTATATGACATGTTACATTTTACAATAATTAATTTAATTAAAACTAGTTAAAATTACAAATGACCGCTGCGTAATTAAATTTGTACGGTAATTTTATTAGTTAGTATTTATAAACGAATTTGTGATGTTTAATAATTTTAATAATTCAGAGGATTCAGGCTCAACATTAAAAAGCATTTATAAAATCATTTTCCTAAAATCCATTAGACATATTAGCTGAAAAAGGGCATTATGAAAAATTCAATAAGTCAAGATATGCATCTGCATTATTACTATTTGGATACGTCTTTTTTCTTTTGTTTGCTGACGCTGGCAGAAGAATATTTCGTTCACATTTTGCATTCATTGGGTTCACTTTTGTTGGAAAATCAACAGGAAATTTATACATATTGCCACTTCAATATTTACACAGTAAAAAACTATACTGAATATAATTATATTTATTCTAAGATTAGTAAATATTGGTGCGACTGGCCTATTCTTAAAAATATCCCCCACTCACGAAAGAGGATTATGTATTGAATTTTAGATGTTGGAGTGATATTTAGTTGGCCGAAGAATCACATAAAAATCAATTATGTATATTTTACCTCTAGATTATAGGTACGAATAAAAATTTTGGTTAAACAGGCCATTATAGCCAAAAAATGTCTCGTAAACAAAATCAACGTGTCTGAAGGTTTGAAAAAATCATTGCAATGTATATTATATATATAGTAGATAGGTATTTGAAACATTGTAAAAAAGTTATGTAATAAAGACAATGCTATAGACCAATATCATTTTTTTCAGTTAAGCAATAATTGTTTCAAATATTGTCTATTCTTTTTCTCTATAATTATTAGATAAAAAGAGATAGCATAATCCACTCTTTACCTTTTGAAATAAACATGGTCATTATATCCCAACCTTTATTTAAAGTCAAGCAAAAGTTAAAAAAAGAATAGACAATACTTGAAACAATTATTGCTTAACTTACATAAAGATACCTTATATTTAATCCAAAAGTAAATATTGTATTGCCAAGAATTATAACATTTGTATCAAAAAATACTTAATTTAATTCTTAAATTAAGCATAGTGTATATTATTTTTGAGGGTGCTTGCATTTATTAGTTTTTTTTATAATTAGCTAAAACGGTATCAGATTTGTGATCAGTCAAGTTATAAAACAAACAAACCATGTAATTGTCAAAGGCCTTTGACTTTCAACAAAAAGGGCTGCTACTAATAACGGACTGTAAACAAACATGCATATTATATGGCCCCGGTCACAAATTAGATTTTATCCGCGTCTATTGACATTCAAAATGGAATTAGTGTGTTACGTTTTTACCTTTACGTGCATATCTTCGAAAAAAATCACAAATGGTGTTTTGTAAAATCAATAGAACCTTGGGTAAATAGTAATTAAACAAATTACCCGCTTA